GCTGGTTGCTTTCAGAAGTTAGAATACAACTATAAAACTATCAAAACTAACTTTAAATTGATATGTCTGGAAAAGAGGGCATACAGCAGACGAGCGCTTGAGGAGCTGCAGATGTGCAAAACTCAGGAGACTGAAATCCGTTGACATGAAAACCAGTTCTGCACTTCACAGATCTGGCCGAGACAAAAAAATTTAACAAAGCAAGCTGTTGACAAAAAGCCACAAGAAGGCATGTTTGCAGTTAAGTCATGCAGGGGGGACAGCAAACATATAGAATAGAGCACTCTGGTCAAATGACACTAAAACACAGTTTCTGGCCTACTTGTAGGGGACTAAATAGACTGTGACAAAGTTGAACACTTGCAAAGAGCAACAAGAAAATGATACATATTAGCTCTTCTAGTGGTCTGTCTTGTTACTTCAACATCCACCACTATGTGGCTTCATTTAATCCAAATATTCTCTCCTTGTCTGAGCCTGTGGTTTACCTATGAAGACACATGAGTCCAAGAGGACTAATTACACTGCAGAGCGAAAGGAGAGGCCAGCCAAAAGAATCCAGAAATATACATCGAGGAACAAGTCTGCACAACCACTCAAACTGATCGAGCCTGATATGAAAGCCAAAGAAGGGCACTCATTGCCTATTAAACAAAATTAGAATTTGTGTTGGCGTGGTTGGAGGAACACCAATCATTCTCACGGAGCTATAACGGCGCTGCAGAAATATAAACGGCGGTCCGCCTTATTTCACATTTATCCGTGTGACGGGCTGATAACGAGCACACTGTCAGTTTCTTCACTTTCTTATTGAGTCTGAATAAATGTTCGCAAATTCCAATCAGGAAAATGTTTACGTTTCGCATTCTGTGAAGAATGATGGGTCTGTCCCGTTTTTTCTTTTCTTTTTTTTTTTTTATCCTTTTTTCGCTGATGCAGATGGAGAAGGAACCTTTACGACTCTGGAAAGTATATTCCGATTAAAAAGTGATTTCTAGGTAACGATGACTCCCTATTAATCTAATCAAATCTGCAGCTCGTTCGTCTGAGAGATTTGCGATCCTGTAATGCTTATTTCCATCCCATCAGGATAAATGAGGCATTTGATAATCTTTATTTCAACAAACTGTCCCTTCGTAGCTTTGTGAGTGGGCGACACAAACAAAGCTGGTCAAAGAAAACTCCCACACATTTGCTTATATTTTGAAACTCTTAACAGATGAACAGAATGTAACAACATTAGCATCATCAAACTGCCCCACAGCTCCATATGTGCAGCTCACATGGATTTTTTTCTAAAGAAAACATGCAATATTTTAAGCAAGGGAAAAAAACAACAAAAAAACATCTTGTTTGAATGGATGGGCTGCATTCAAGCATACAGCGAACAGCCCCTTTAAGGCTGTTTCTGATTAGCGGTTTGCTCTTTTTTTTAAAAGCCTAGAGATGTTATGTGTAATGTAATCTTCTGGCTGTGTCAGACTGCTACCTCAGTGCATTTGCTGTAGAAGACCCCAGACATGCAAACAAAGGAGTCTCTGTTCTGGCTACATGCACCGTTTTCACAGGCACACATCATGTACGGGTTCAGCTTGGTATCTGACCACACTGTTAAAATATGCAATAACGCATATGGCCTCTTTCTTTCAAAAATATGCTTGACCTGTGCAGCAGCACAGTAATTGTGAGCATTGCCCTGTGATCTAAGGAATAAAGGTTTTTTTTGTTTTGTTTTTTTACCACAGTGCTAGTCATGCAGAAAAAGAAAATGGGGGAGGGGAGATTGGATCAGAGGATCCTGGATCCCCATAACAGACCACAGAACATTTAATACATGCAATCAGAAAAAAAACCTGAATCATATCATACCAAAGGCTAACGTTATGTATGAAGCACAAAGAAAACACATATTATATGCATGAACTGTGCTTGAACACATCGGGTCATTCTGGGGTTAACTAGTGTGTTCTGGATTTTTTGGGTTGGTTGCAGTTCACACACAAACAGCACGACCCACGACCACGCGTGGGTCGTGCTGTCCTTGGCCCTGGAGTGGCAGAACAATGGTTGTAAATTTGGAAGAAAAAAAAAGGTGCATTTATTTATTTACCACACTTCAAATTAGCTTTGAAGAGAAAACTAACTCCATGGTGTTGGAAAGGAGGAGCTAACTGATTGCTGAACAGTGTGGCATCTTCCCTCTAAATAACCAAAGCAAGACCCGTGCCATCATGTTTGGCCCGAATGCTGTTTGTAGTCAGAAAGATGCTCTCAAAATGTTTTTCAAAGAAGTTGCTAGGTTTTGGGATGAGCTTATATTTTTTCGCTCTATGCATGAAGTGGAAAGTGTCGTTGGATGAAGTGTAAGATTGGGTTCTCGACCGAGCAACCCACTGATTACAGGACAAACTCCTGCCAGTGTCACCCATTGCAGTGTATCTGCTGCAACGTGGGAACTGGTATCAAGGTAAAGAAGCAGCTGAACCTCAAAGTAAAAGGTGCGAAATCTCTGGTTTATCTATGTTCTAACACATGCGAGTAAGCGTCGAGTAGAACCACAGGTCTTTCAGATCAAAACGAGGTCAGTTAAGTTTGGGTCCCTGATCAGAACGCCTTCCTGAAGCCTTCCTTTTCAGGTCCCATTGGGAGGACACTTAGTGAAGTGACTCGATCTGTTTTTGCCACTGAAAGCCTTGGGATGCCCCAGAATGAGCTGGAGAGCGTCGATGGACAGAGTGATGTTCAGGTTTCCCCTTCTGAGCCTTTTACTTTTGTTTATTTTCTCAGAAGCTGAGCAACGTAGCACACTAAGATAGTCAGAAAGAGGAGAAAAATGAACTAACTCGAGCTGGAAAATGTTTCTGTCATAAAAAAAAAAGAAGGCAATTTTTAAAAATATTTGTAGTATTAGCAGTATTATACTGATGCTATTATATCCTGCTAGAAAACTTGAAATTAAAGGCGCTCTGTTGAAGGACAGAGACGCCCAACAATGAACTCTCTGTTTCCCAGGCTTCTTCACGACTTGTGTGTAAGCTCCTATTTGACAGCGCTGACAGAGCATCAACTGCAGCTGACATGTTTTGAAAAGCCCAAATTGCCTTATCCACTAAGAAGGTATTTGTTGACACAACACTGCAAACCTGGAGTGGGCGCTGGTGATTGACGCATGACCGCAGCGTCAGCAAAACTACAAAGCTGGACATTTATCCCAATTAGCACGCACACTTATGCGCCAGCGGTGACATAATTGGGGCAGAAGAGGAAATGTGGCAAACAACAACCGACTTTATGGTCTTGTGATGTGAGCTGTAAGCAGACAATAAGCTGCTAAAGCTCCCCACTCGACCCTTCGTTAAAGTCCCGCAATCCCAACATCAAAGAAATATACAATCCTATAGGACGAAAGCACATGTGTCCATATGTGTGTGTTTATTGAACTCTCTTTTTGATTGTGCATGCGTGTGACTTAGTCGGTGGAGGTTTATGAGTGTTTATGTGTTTGCGGTGAGGTCCACATCCATATGTTTTTTGTTCGTCTGTTTTTTGCAGGGTCTAATTTAAATTTTACATCATGTGAGTAAGCACATTTTTGTACAGTGAGGACATTTTGGCTGCTCCTAACGTCTTCAAAGGCTTGTTTGAAAGCACTTTCCGAGTTACGGTTGTAATTAAATTCTTTTTAATGGGCCAGTAACACAAATTTAAAGAAAAGGGGGGGAAAAAAAGGGCGGAGGGCTTCTCAAGTAAGATTGTTCAAAGAGCTGCTTGCAGGAAGTTTTTTAATAAATCTTGTCTCCGCATTTATTGCACCACTCAGTCTTCCACAAAAGCATGGGCGTAGAGATGAGCCATGGTCAGAAAAACCTATTAGCTTTTGGTATGAATCTACACTGCTGCTTTTTTAATTCTTACATATTGCCCTGGCTTTGATACAGGGTACATGTACAGAAAACCTCTCTGTAGTTACAGTTGCAATGAGTGAGAAGTTTACAGGAAGGTATGTCAAACTCACAACACACACAGAGAAAGTCAGAGAATGTGGTTTTTTTCAGTCTCGGATGAACTTAGTGATTTATGACAGAATTACAACTTATGACCATGCATTAAGAGTTGTGGTGAAAGAATCCATCACCGAGAGTAAAACTGCTCTTTGTCTCTCAGATTATGTCACTTCCTATTACTGTAATTGTGTGTTTGCGAGAAACAGATAGTTGCTGCATGCGTGGGTCGTGCTGTCCTTGGCCCTGGGGCTTCGTCCGCTGCCGCTTTGAGTTATTTGGCGAGGCGCTAATTGACACGAAGGCTCCACCTTCATCGTGCTTTGTCGGAACAAGATGGCCGAGCCGCTGGATCAACAAATCTTTGAGGTCCAAATTCTGCCATATGTCCTGCCATCTGTTCCCATCTACCAGCTGGGAGCACTCAGAGCGGTGGCTGTGTCTAAATCACTGACCATGGGACTGAAACAGTGCCAGGGCCTCAATAATCTCAGAATGGTCAACATTAGCACTGTGTCTTTCGTGGAACCTGTCATCAGCAATGTCAGATTCATTTGGATAAATGTTTACAGTAGGAAAATGTGCTTCAGACAAAAATAATGAAATGTGAATATTTTGTGGTGGATGCTTCTCTGATTAATACCCACCCAGTCAGTTTATGTGGACAGGCATGCTGGTTGACCAGTGCTCTGTGAGATGGTTAAACTTTGAAATTAAAAAGCAGCTTTTCCTTGATTTTTATGACACTGTCTACTCTGTAATGTTCTCTAAAACTCTTTGAGGCCTTCAAAGAACACATTTATATTGAAAACAAATTACACACAGCCAGTCTTCGAAGACATTTGGGTTTTGCTGAATCAGAACAAGGGAAAATCAAAATCGAAAAACATTTAGCATTTTCCTAATATCCGTCCTTTAGTGTTAAATCCCAATATAATCTAAAAGTTCAGTAAGTGTGAATATGTTTCAGAGGCATTATAAACATGTGGGCTGTCTTACCTGATTTGGTGACCGAAACTCTTGGTTGCTGTCATTCATATACATGTTGTCAGCATCAAACTGTGAACAGAAACACAAAGGATAAATAAACATTGTATGTGAGATGAGTTTTGGGGAAAAAAAAAATACTAAAAAAAAAACAAACAAAAAACGACGATGGGTGCCTGGGGAGGAGGTACAAAGAGGAAAAGCTCTAAAGCTCTTTACGGGTGGCCTCAAGTGTGAGACTAATGACTTTGTCACTTTGGTTAAACCTCGTGGTGGCATGGCAGCACGGGCAATTACTGTTCGTCAGCAGGCCAGTAATTAGGCTACATGAGCGTGGTGACGAGAGATGGGCTTTTCCCTGTAGGCTCTGCTGTGTGCGAGAAAAGAGAACGAGTGTGAATGAATCTATGGCTGCATCCAGTTAGGAAGTGTGCGCTCGCTCTCTTCGAGGGTGTGTTTTGTGTGCGCGTGTGTGTGCGCGCTGTGAAGTGAATGCGTGCTGTGTCTTCTAACTGGAGCTAATCAGGCAATGAAGGATCACTTGCTGCAGGTGCCAAAACACTCCTTGACATGGGGTTAGGGCTCGCGTAACAACAACTGACTCCCGACCGGCGAGGGTGCAGCGAAACAACACAGGGTCAACAACAGAGTGCACCATGCTAGCTCTGCACTCTCTACTGAACTAAATAGCTGAAAAAGAGATTAGTTTCAAATGTGTCTGAATTCCTGGAGAGAAAACAATTAAACAGACCTTTTTTTAAGAAATAAAATCAACACAGTAAAGGCTGACCGAACTTTGCAGCATATAGTTCTATGAGCAAATAAGACAAGGTAGGAACTGCTTGGGAACAAAGAGAACACAAACAAGGCTTTCAACTTAAGTACTCAGAACCAGCTGTGAAGCATGGTGGTAGTCGTGTCATGCTGTGGGTCTGTTTCACTCCTTTAGGTACAGGTGGCTTGCAGAAAATGATGGGAATAATGGAAAAAGGTGAACTACCTTTAACTCAATTTGACAGCAAGTCAGTTGCAATGTGGACAAAGATCCTAATCACATGTGAATGCTGGTTTTAAAACAGATAAATCAGACCAACATTGACCTTCTGTAATTGCCACAACCTCAATCATATTGGAGACTTAAATCATATGCTTAGAAGTCAATCAAATTAAAAGAGCGCCTCCATTTTTGAAAAGATGAATGTTCGAGTATCTAGCCAAAATTGTGCCAGAATCTTGGCAACCGAAAGTTTGTGGTTTCCTTAAAACTCATTGAGGGACAGTTGTTATTAGTGGTGGGGTAGTATGTCAGTCTGTAGGCATGATTTTGACTATGGATTGGAGAAAAGCCTCAACAAGTTGTAAGCAAAGAAACCACAAGCTATTTATTATATATATAATCAACTAATAATAAAGAATGTTTCACAAGCGTCAATAAAATACCCAAATGAATGCTTTCATGCACATCATGGATCTATGTAGACCTCTGTCTGGAACTGTGAAAACCCACAAAAATTAAGCTTGTCAAATACAGTCAACATCTCTATTTGTTCACTGAAGTCAGACTTTTCAATGTCAAGGCCTGAAAAGAAACTCGTAAACTGACTGCAGTAGAAACATGATCAAACCAGACAGCTTTCCATGTCACATTCCTCAGATTTAAATATACGGAGGGGCCCGTCTCATTTTGCCGGTGGTCCGCTTTGTGCTAAGGAGAAGGTTACCGAAGGCTTGAAAGGTAAACAAACACCAGATAGGACAGCATACAAATGGATCGCAAGATGTACCTGCTCAAAACAATGACCAAATAGGTAGCCTAATGGACGGAAATGAGCTGAATTCCTTCGGGGGGAAATCTAATATCTACGCTGGAAGGCAGGAAAAGGCCGAAGTAGGTGAACGAGCATCTGAGTGGTGAGAAAGAGAAATTACTGCACGTCACTGCAGATGAAAGGTTGGGTAGAAGGAGAACTTGCCTTGCGGCGGCGATTGGTTAACGACGCATGCATTAAAAAAAAGCCCAAGTGAGGATTCACATGACTAATTTAATGATTACATTTACATTCATCTACATATGCAAACATGAAATCGAGTCAGGAGCTGCATGTAAGTCATATTGAAGCCACACTCCCATTCAAATTAATCAATCTGAAAGCAGTAAGCGAGTGCCCTGTGTTTGCTGAAGTTGAATGCTGACTAATTGTGCCGCAGATCCAGACGGCTGCTTAATCAAGCACGGGAGTGTTTATCATCTGACTAACCTGCAGAGAGAGGGTCAAACAATCTTGACCTGGCTCACATATCTGCAATAAACTCTTCCCCCAATCCCTCTCACGACAGCCTCTTGTTCTCTTCTAACTGAGCCATTTTATTCCATTAAACTCCACTTTAATATGACGCAAAGCCACTTAGAGAGCCTGTTAAAGATTCTCTCGGGTGGAAAGAGATTGAAAGAGAGTGGCCGAACAACGTCGTTTTTAACCCCGCAACACCCGGCGGAGCTTTCGTTAGGAGTTAATTTTTGCAAAGTGAATTCTTTGGGTGCTCAAAGACAGGAAATGAAGCGGGGAGGATGATCAATTTCGCCGCTGATATCAGGCAATGCGGTGATCGTCAGAAAGGCCAAAACAGCCCGGAAAAAAGGTCAGCCATTTTGTGCTTCAACATGGCTGCTTATATATTGCAATGTAAAGCCCTTTCCCTTATGCTCCTTTCTCTGAAGAACTCTGCTTTGCACTTTCTCACTCTTCCATTTAAAATGCCAATTTACTGCTTGCTCAGTGCTATCAGCTCAGCCATTACTCCGTGTGGGCTGGGGAATATCTTTTACTCTTTCCCTTTTTTTTTTCGTGTTCCACTTATTTCCATTTTTCTTTTACTGTCTTACTTCTATCCCTCACTTTTCACTCTTTATCGCTATGTTCCCATCGCCTCCACCTCTCTCTCTGCGCTACAACCTTCCCAGTTGTACTTCTCCATCACACACCCCATATTCCCCTTCCCGGCCCCCCCCCTTTTTTTTTCCCTTCACTCGTCTCTCTTTCTTCAGCGGGGCTTGGCATCGCTTTCTCATCGGCAGCTTAATTGGGCATTCTGCCTGAGACAAGGGCCTCATTAAGCAGTAATTACACACATGTTGTTTTCGGCAAACATCTCTATTTGGATTGCTTTGCATGGTAATTGTTCAGCAGGGACCACTGCTTGCGATGTTTCAATCCGTGACACACGTGGTGCTGGTGGAGAGAAATGAAAAAACATGAAGAAGAAGAAGGGTAGAGGAAGAACAGGAGAATGGGGAGGGGGACAGATGGGGGGGAGAGAGAGAGAAAAAATAATAATAGGCTGTGGAAGAGAGACAAATTGTGAAATAAAGAATGCATAGATGAGAGGGAGAGAGGATGTGAGTAACACAGATGCAAGCTGAAAGAATGAAGGCAATGCAGAGGCAGTAAGTGGAGAGACACGATGAATAAATGACAAAAAGGACAAATTCAGTGTGAGAGGGAAATGAGAATGAGGAAAATGAGCAAGAGAAGTGAAAAGGGGGAAGAAAAAAAAAAGAGATAGTGAGTCACAAAAGTGGGTCATGCCTCGCAATCATCGACAAAGCTGAGTATTTCAAAAATAATGAAGCCACAAGGTGGAAGTAATGCTAACTAGCACATCCAGGGAAAGCATGTAATATTTACACAGTTCTAATGGAGCAACATAAGGCTGGGATCCTTTCATCTAGGAGTCCTCTGTCAGGCTGATGATGACAGGATTGGTGGCTCCACTGAAGACTGCCTCTGATTGATGGACAATTTATATAAGCTCCCCACTAAGTCTTCTAGGCAACATCTGTTTGTGAGGAGGTGGAAGGGGGGTGAAGATCAACTGCTTGTGGCGTAATGCCGCAACTACTTAGTCAGTACAGAGAAAATCATGTCAAACCAAAGACAAATAAGCCAAGGAAAAAAAGCTTTATCTATGGACTGATTGTTTGAAAACCTCCAAACACAAATCATGAATGTCTACTAACATGAGGAGAACAGTTTAACAACTGGATATTGGTTGCTAAAGGTGACCTACTGTGCTTCCTTGAACAAGTTAGGGTAGGTCTATGGCTGTAAAAAAAACATGCTGATTGTTATTTTTTTCATTACACTCAGGTGACAGGATTTCACTTGGTCATTTCTGGCTATTTTGAGCTCCTTTCTGAATGAGCTGTTCCAGGGCTATGTCTCTTTTATGCAAATGAGCTGCTGCTGGTTTAGGGGCGTGTGTTGTCGTTCCACTGGGAAAGACCAGAGAACATGCCATTCAATTCTTTTGTAAATCGATGTCTTCACCAATCAACAATCTGACCAATAGCTACTTGGATGTAGACAGATACTTGCCCTAGCATGCTGATATAAAAAGATTTTGTTATTTCACAGATCCTTATCAGATACACCAGTAAATTTAAAGTGATATGTACAATAAAATAATAGAGAAAAATATAATCAACAAACAACAATAGAACCAATATCAGTGCAGGTAAATTGTTATATATTTGGAATTTGTGTAGCTAGTATTTGTTCAAAATAAATCTACTCCACAAACAATTACTTTTCTTTCCAGTATAATCTTCTTCTATGCTAAATGTCAACATTCATAAAGCTGAAGTTTGAGTAGCTTTTTGTATTTACTCAAGTTAATCTTTGTTATTTACATTTTTCTGATGATCCGAAACATTTAAATGTTACACAAAAAACAAAAAGCAGGAATTTACAGCAATGTATGTCCAGCATACCACCACGATTTACTCTCTGAAAATAATCACAGGAATTTACAACTGAATCTTACATGATGAGGTGTAACAGCTAATAATTTTAGTTTTCATCCAATTAACACTTAAGCAGATTTTGGATGTCGTGCAAGAAAGAGAAAAATGTCAGCAACAACAGCAAGACACGATCACACCAAACAGCAACCTCAACCAACTTTCTGAACTTTTGAATTAATAACAGAGAATCTATAAGCAGAATATGTACTAGGTGTGACTTTAAAAGCCTTTGCCGGTACACCAAGTCTCTAAAAATAATTCTCTTGCC